ATGGTCTAATACACGAAATTGGGTAAGAGTACATCAAAACTTCTAGTTAATAATGCCAGTGTGCTTCTCGATGCACTTCTTAGGTTCGTATTGTTTTTCTGCTTTATTATAGATCTTTCTGACTCATCTCTTCTACACATCCGAAGTATGCTGACGATGTCATCCTGCGTCAGACAATTTCCTCTTCTTTAGTATTCAGTTCCTTTACCAAAAATCTATCCTGAAGCCAGCAGTTTTCCACCAATCCTAGTATCTACAATGCACGTTCAATCTTTCCTGCTCTATATTTTCAACGGACTATACTACCCTTAAGTGGCCTGCACACATTGGCAACCGTAGGCAGAAACTAAAATGCCTTTCGTTTCAGCTACGGAAACTCCGATATTTTCGAATTCCACTGTCAGTATCCTCACTTTTGTTCACCGATGTGTTTTACAAATTTTATCGGATTCCTCGAATGCGGTGTTTTCGGCCTCTTAACACAACACATCAAAATCATTCGTCATGGTTTGGAGATAATCAGTCGTGTTTCGTTGATTTCAGATGATTCACTAATCACAGAGCTTTTAAACGGTCATATCAACACCTACAATAAATTTGTCAATAAGAGTACCGGCGACAATCTCCATCCACGGAATTTTGATGTATCCTCAGGTCGCTTCCACACGTCCACACACTTCTCCCTTCGCCATCAACCCTCTTTGGTTAAGTTTGAGAAGAATTACCTTGTACCAACAAGGAGCGAGCGGATCTTTATTGAATTAAGCCAGAATGTGTACAGAACAAAACCCTGGTGATATTTTTCATAATGCATATTATACGAATTTTTAAATTTGATGTGCTGAGACAACGAGAGTACATTACTTACTGGAAAATAAACAACCTACCCTTACTCAGGTTATAAAATACAAATACAAAGGAGTGCAAACAGTTCCTACCGATAACCGCTTAGGTACCAACTGTCCACCTCCTGTGAATCAGTACCTCAAGATATCTGGTTGAATTCCATTTCGCTTGGCAATTTGTTTGAAACGTTTCATCCGCAGCCGAAGTGACATCATCAGTGCTTATGAAGTGGCGAACTGGCCAAATGGAATTCAGTTCACCCGAGCTACGAGAACCGATTTTCAACAATTGTTCATCTGACTGATTAATTAGCTCGGTTAAATAAATTACCCTATGGAGAGGACGTAACCCACAAGTAAATTGTTGTACTGTTGTACTCAAGCCCCGTTCGAATCGCCAAGTTCTGTTCATCCTCTGTTTCAGTCCTCCTCTCCGAGTAGTAACCTATTTGATGTCCCTTTTCACAGATATTTTATACCTTCACTCACAAATTCATTTTCCCCTTAATCAGTTTCTCTTAAAGCAATGGTTTGTTCTTGTATCCACGCAACAATTACTTCCACATTCATCTTTTCCACCTTTTGGCATCTGTGACATTGAGTATCTGCTCAAGTGACCACCTTTAATTAGTATTTTTCATTTCTCTATCGGTCTGTCTATGAATAGATTAAAGTTGTTTATTACACGATGGTTCAGCATATCCGCGTAAACATCCATCTCTTTCGGATATTCATCACGCCGAGCAATAGAATTAAACACTTATTTCGGACCACCCACTTGGGTAAAAGAGTGAAGCGTTTATGATCCGGATTCTGACCACCACAATAGGTGAGAACGCATCTCTCTTTCTCTCTCCCTAATGTATAATAATGTCTGATGAACAACTAGTATAGTGCACCTGAAACACCACACACTCAGAACTGTACACCAGTTTGGATTAGGGCTGAGGTTAATAGGATGTGCATTTACGCTGAATGCTAAATTGTAAAGCACAGGAACTGAAGAGACAACATGAAGGGTATTTCAAAAGATTTATCTTGTTCAGGTAGATTCTCGGTTGGAAAATATAAGTTAATGCATTTTTTAGTCCCCCTTTTGTAAAACAAATCGAGTGCGCATTTGTTACAAATCTCTCGCAGAGGTTCAGGCAATTTTAGGATGTTTCAGTCAAAAATAATCATTGCTCAATCCTTGATTTGACGTGACGAATCAACAAACCAGCTCATTGCATCATTTAGGACAGGCACAGTGAACAACGCAACAAGGATAACTTGCCACCAAATACAAAAGTATACACACAGGCGTTTTCTTTCCTCTTCTATCTAGCAACTCTCCCAAAACAAACTAACTTCAATACCCACATATAGGGAATATTTTGGGGACACCCACAACGAATATTTACCTCCGGAACCTAATCCGTGACACATTGAGTAAAATAAGTGCCAATTCTCTGGCACACAAGGAAGTCATCACGCAGAATGAATGAGTCCCCGGACTCAGCACTCACTGTTGTACGCGCCGACGTCTGCACCTCGTAAAGGAGTGAGTGCACCGGTGACAAAATGAGCCGCCGGATAGGGAACCAGATTGGTCAGGAGTGCACTCATTGAGGCCGACAGCTCACTCTCAAAGCGCAGGGTACTGAACAAACCACTGGTTATCTATCAGAAAAGAAAAAGGGTTCTATTTTGATGAATCAGAATTTGATGTTTTGATATAATCTAACTGCCGAAAACCTGAAGCCCCGGTTGAACACGGAGCCCACACAAGGGAACAATTAAGTTCAACTTTAATTAGATACAACACCATATTTATTGTATTACCATCAACAATTTTGCGACTTAAGAAAGTATCGGTTAATGTTTTTGTTGTTGTTGTTCGGGCCTCAGCAGAACGTTAAACAAGCAGTTATGAAGCACACAGATACAACGAAGCATTTTGGTTTCTAGATTTATCGTTTCCATTGAGTATTATACTTACTTCAAAATCACATTGTTTTACTACAAGGACTAATGTGCAGTTGAACAAACCACCCATGCACACCTGGTCTTATTGTAAGCATTCATGCATCCCGAGAACAGAACTAATTCACGTGCGAATATAAGTTGAAACAGCAATATGTACCTCACAGTACACAGATTTCCCAGAGGGTGAGTAATACTAAGCTGTGGTTGAGCTCATGCATAGTATTCCATTAGTTATTTTCCACGTCTCCCTTTTCGTGTCTGCATTTACATCTAAGTGTAATTCAAGTCCAGTGTCGTGCCCAAGCGCCTGTACCAATCATTTCCTTGAAATAGGATTATGTGAATTCAACCTATCAGTAGTTCATTTGTTAAGCATTAGGTCTCGATCCCTGAAACCTCATAGTATAGCTCCGGTTGGCATCGGTTGCTAAAACCTCGGCATATAGGGATTCAAAGTCTGTTAGGAACGTTACTTGAGTTTCCTTAGTCTATCCGGTGTAGTGTGATTGGTTGTACTGTCAAATTCTGACAATATCAAGCATTCGCCTCTACAATTAAACTGTGAGTTCGCGTTTTTATCTTACCACCAAGGCATTGTGGCATTAGGTTTACACGATTACCAGATACTGTTCCCTCCGGTGCGAGGGTCTTCACTTTTCGCTTCTCATTAGTTTGCTCGTTATTGTGTCGCGTACCGGTACGGTTCCTGTGCCAGCATACTTCANTACTTCATTACAAGTCTGTCACTGCCACAAGTTTTCCGGTTTACTCAGGAGTAAATTGGTTGAGTGCCAGTTACGAGGTTCCTGTAGAAGAAGTTCACAACTAACCCTGTTTGACGTACTTCAACGGTGACCTTCAGCTGCAGTTTAGAGCGCAACCGTACACACCCTTTCATAATTTGGTTGTTGGGACATTTTAGCACTATTACAGTTTTGTGAGCGTCACTTCCAAATATCTGTCTGCCTGTGCGATTTAGACTGCACAATACTGCTGTACTCGATGCACTCACCTACTTCCTTCCGGCTGATCCTACCAAGAATTATATACATACATACATACACATACATACATACATACACACATACATACAGACACACATATATAGATATGTACATATATGCATATTATGACACCCAACCGGGGCTATTAGAGTACTGAGCTGAGGCAACCAGTATTCCGACTCAAGTCAAGAAGAATTCAACGTGTCAGATTGGAAGAGACTCGTATCCGGTTTCCACTNTTTCCACTGAGTTGTACACATGAATGCTGATTCACATTCTTGACCAAAAATTAAGACCTTTCACGTGATTTGGACTTTTCTGTAGGAAGTTAAAATGAATGTATCAGTCAATGGGAATAGGCTGCTGCAACCTTCCCAGCTGGTAACGTTAGCATGATTGTCCCAGGTGCACCAAATAACTGCCGACCTACCTGAGCAATCAAACGATTCAAAGATGTTGTTGAAATTTTTGACGTCAACAGTCGTTCTGTGCAGAGACGAACCAAAGACAAGTTGTCCATAAGTACAGTACAATCCACCAGCTCCATCGGTGCATGCATGCTTAACAAGGCGTTGTATGGTTCCACAGTGGAATTCGACAATGTTGAACTTGGTGAAATGGCCAGCTGAATTCGTGAGCACTTGCTATATTGATCTTGAATCTCTTCTAGTAGCGCTTGGGAAATGGAAATTGTAAGATAGAAGCACGTTTTTTGCATAGTTCAAATGTCCTCTATTCTGCCTGAATAGGTATGAAATGAGAGTAATGGAGGATTTGATTCTATTTCAAAAGGGAAGTTCGTCAGGTAAATAGCAAATGAAGTGAGAAACGTAAAGCTAGGAAGCACTGTACAGTTGCTTAGACCTGGTTGGGTTTCATTAGCAGTGAGCGAGTTCATCGACCCAACTGGGGCTCGAACCCCTGACCTTACAGGCAGGACGCAAGAATCCTACCTATTCCACCATCGGGCAGCTGATCAGACCGTTTTTTATTCACACTGCTGATAAGACCCAAACAGGTCGAAAAAGCTGTACAGTGGCTCCTACGTTTTCAGTTCATGCCTCATCCACCATATACACGATTAATTTCCCCTTTGCGATATGAAATGGTACAAATTCGTGATGAACTACAGCCCGTTTACGATTGCTGACTGATTCAACATCCCGCTCAATCTGCAAACACACCCACATATGAGTGATCGTTCACCAGGAAGGGACTCAGCAAAATTCACACACAATAAAATACAGTAGCTTAAAATATTGATATCCAGTTTCCTTCATAAATTTTAATCGATTGGAGACAGACAATGTTATACGATAATCACACAAAATAAGTGATACGGAAATTATGTAAAATATGATTAAACAAATGAATGCCCACGGGCGAAGAGCAACGTAGATGAATACTCGATATTACCATGAATCCTTGTAACTGTTTATTTACCACTCTCTGTCCAGTTACATCAATGGTTTAATATTATTTTTCGTTATTTCCGATAGCGTAATGCTGTTTCCAATTGCTGAACCTCGATTGGGTGTCAGTGCACACAACGGACTGTTTCCATCCCCATTCACCAAATTGACAAAATGCGGTCACAGAATCCTGTGAATAAATTCGCTGAAACGAGACTTCATACGCTACTCTTTTCTGGTGGAGAAATCAATAAGGATTGACAAAGTGAATCGAAACCACAAATTAACACCAACGAGGGGGAGTGTGCAGAAAGCCAATCAATTTGCTTTGACAATCGAGTGCAATGGATTAGATGATTAGACGAGGATGACTAATTCCTGAAACGTCAGTTACTTTTTGTATTTTTCCAACCATAAACCAAGCATTTTCTGGCGCCAATTTTGTATGCTGCATTTTGGCTGTCCACTTGGATAAAAGAGTCCAATGAGGATGGGAATATTGAGAGAAAATTCAAGAAGAATTCAAGAATAATAAGTAGATGCACGAGCGCCACTGGTTGCGGCACTGTCATGTTAGTCAGTGTCTCTAACCACTATAGATTTATGTTGAGATTGTGAAAAGTTCAGTGGTCTCGGTGGGATACGAACCCACACATGGACGCAGCCTACGCTTGTGTACAGCACACGTCCTACCAGCTAAGCCACAAGGCCACACCACTAGCGCTGATTATTTCACATTCGAATTACCCATCCAACTTACAGAGACATGTGGATCCACCAACTAGCATGTAACCTGAGTGCTCCGACTGATTTTCCTTAGAGTTCACCGGAGTCCACCGAATGAACATCTAAGGCAAGGAACTGTTTACAATGTTGTTTGGCAGGTTGAAGTTGTATATTGATTGTGAAAAGTTTACAATCTCAACATATCTCATATCCCCCTTTTTGTTCACCTTGACCATAGAGTACGTTCAACAGAATATTTTGTCCGGTTTAACAAACGGTTTAGCAAAGCGAACATATTCCTAATTTAGATTATATCGATGACATTGCCTTGTTGGGTTGGGAGCTTTAAGTACATTCGGAGCTTGATCGCAGCTGGTGTTGAGGAGGACATCACATCACGAATAACGAAAGCTAGATCAGCTTTTACCAACTTGCGACACCTGTAGCGCCACTATGACATCTGACTGTCTCTCAAGGGAAGGGTTCACACTGCCGAAGTTCATATATTTTTGCTTTGCAGCTACGAGGCCTGGCTCTTCTGCGTTGATGATGCTAATCGACTTTCGCTATTTGACCACCGATGTCTACGAAGCATTGCTCGTATTTGGTGAGAACATCGGGTGAGCAACAAGGAGGTTAGTTGTTATGTATTGAACTTGGATATTCGTTCTCTAAAAGAACCAACCGCTTTGCATCGCCTCTGATGGCTTGGCCACGTTTTGTATGTACCTTTCCGTGCTGGTCAAACCTGGAACAAGCTCTGTGGCGGTCAAATCATGACATAGTGCAGAGGTATGAGGAGGCTAGCCTCTGCTATGGCTTCGCATTTTTGGGGCCCAGGGAATGGGGATTGTAGTTGGTTAATGAGGCCATGGGATATGACCCAGAATAAAAGTCAGTGGCACAGATACTGTAAGGTCTGCTTGCTGAAATCCCTTGCATCAATGTAAAACATAAAATATATCAAGTGTAAGACGAAACAAACAAAATATTTTCTTTTTGTTATTCACCATAACTGCCTGACTCCTTTTCTGTTCTGTTCTGTTCTTTTCTTTTCTGCTCTTACAATCATTACCCATGCACTTTTGTGCGCCCCTTTTGGTTATTGTCTTTTGGTTGCCCATTTGGATAAAACAGCAGAATGGTGATTAGAATGTTGACAGCAAGTTCAAACAGAAGATAGCGCATTTGCATACACTGAAGTCACAAGGATAATGAGCAGATGCATGAGCGACACTGTTTGCGACACGCAGCCATATCACTCAGTATATCTAACCATCGGTGATCATGATCTCGGGGCCTTTAGCCAGGGAGCATAACGGAAACTATGTAAGCCGGTCTCCTGGTCAGTGTTTTCATACACTCATGCCAGGTCTTAGTTTGACCGCCCTTTATTTTTTCCAACCGCCACCTGTCTCGGTAAACACCACTCGCCATGACAACCTATCTGGTGATATGCCTGGCATATGTCCCAACCAGCGTAATCTATGAAGGTCCACTACTTTCTTCAGTGGACGACCACGATTACCTAAAACTCTGCGCCTAATCTCAGCATTGCTCATCCGGTTTCCCCACCAGACTCATGCAGTGGTACGTAGACAGCAGTGTTCAAACACCGAAATTCTATCTTTATCCTGTTTTCTTAATGGCCAATTCTCTGCACCGTAAAGCAGAACTGGCCGAACTGCTGCAGCATATACTGGACCCTTCAAAGACAGTCAGATGTCGCTCTGCTTTGTATCCGAGAGCCTCTCGCTCTCTGGTACTCCTGTTCTCGAGTTCTCACCATGTTTGATCGCAAGCCGGTGGTGTATATCTGTATATATATATATATATATATATATATATATATACAGATATACACCACCGGCTTGCGATCAAACATGGTGAGAACTCGAGAACAGGAGTACC